CTGGCCGGGAGTCTCCCGATGGACGAGCCTAGCATCACGCCCGCTGGGGCGCCGCCGAAACCTACCCGGTGTAGGCGGTCAGCTGGGTCCCCGCCGGTCGCCGCCGCCGCTGCGGTGGCCCAGGAAGACTGATCCCGGGGCCGGCGCCATCGCCCGACCCAAGCGGGCCCGGGAGCTGCGGACGCCTCGCCTCCTCCCGCCGCGCCGCTCCAGCGAGGGCTCCCTTCACTCCGGCAGGCCATGTGACGGCGCCGCCGAAACCTACCCGGTGTAGGCGGTCAGCTGGGTCCCCGCCGGTCGCCGCCGCCGCTGCGGTGGCCCAGGAAGACTGATCCCGGGGCCGGCGCCATCGCCCGACCCAAGCGGGCCCGGGAGCTGCGGACGCCTCGCCTCCTCCCGCCGCGCCGCTCCAGCGAGGGCTCCCTTCACTCCGGCAGGCCATGTGACCCGCGGGCTGTGGAGAGACTGCAGCCCCAAAGCTGGATGCCGGGAGAAAGGACTGCGAAAGGCGCCAACTGATGGGCAGCGAGGGAAACGCAAGGGGTCGCTGCCAAGGCCAGCAGGCTTGAGGGGAATGTGAGCCAACGTTTTATTCCCTTCAGTGGGCACAGGGAGGTTGATGGACATTGATGAAATCTCTCTCCTTTCTCGGGTGCTGGGGAGAAGCGCTTGCTTAGAAGGTAATTAGTCTATTTCTGAAGGGGCTGCAGGCTTCCAAAAGCCTTCTGTTTAAACGCAAATGTCCCTGGGAGACATAACTGGAGATATGAGAAAATATGTACATAGGGGTAAACAACTCCTGAAGTGCACACAGGGAAATAAAAAGGAAACGACCCAGGGAGAGAGAATGTGTGTGTCCAAGGGACAGTATCAGCCAGCTGCTTTCCATCTGTCCTTGCTAGGACTCTCACCAAACACCTTTGTGGCCTATCACGTTGCTTATTCCACGTCCATTTGCCTGTCTAGGTCAGGACTTCAAAGAATAGTTCAAGGTATGAATAAAGGTATGAATAGTATACAAAATTTGAGTCGTGGTGATCGTCAAGTTGATTGGCCAATAGTTATTTACATATTGTCTATAGTAGCACCCATGAACATTAGAGTTAGTTGTGACAGAGACCTATAACCCACTGGGCCTAAAAGATTAGCATTTGATTTCTCAATATCTGCTCTAAGAGTTTTGTCGGTAGTCTAGTGAGAAGAGGAAACATGAAAATCAGTAAATGCTCATATTAAGGTGGAACCGCCCTCCTCTTTCTATTTTGACACAAGGTCTCTAAAATTTGCCTGCTTCAGCCTCCCAAATAGCTAGGATTGTCAGCACGGAACACCAGATCTGGCTCAAGCAACTTTTATTGCATTTACTTTTGAGAAAGTTAGAAAGTCTAGCTGGATCTAGGTGGTATAGAGCTGGATCTCTCACAGGAAAGGAGCTTGGGTAGGTGTTCCCATTTTCTGGAAGAGAGACTAGCAGACTGATACTGAGAAATGGAAGGATTGTGACAAATTAGAGTGTAATTCAAGTCACTGTGGATGGCCTGGTGCTGGGTTCAAGTCCGCTTACTGGATATGGACCCCTTCGTGCCCTAGTCTTTTAATCATATAACTGAGATAGTGATAATTCCTTAATTTTTTTAAAGGTTTGTATTAAATAATGTATGGAAGTTGCTTATTAGCATAAGGTACCTGGCAAAAGAGCTAGCATTCACTAAATGGTTGCTATTCACTAAATGGTTGTTTAATAAAATTGACTAATCACCTATTTATGATGTACCTGACAACATCTCTGCTGTCCAATTTGGTAGTATCAACCAGACATGATGATTGAAATTTAAATGACATGAAATTTAAAAGTCATTTCTTCAGTAGTGCTAGCCACATGTCAGATGCTCAGTACCTATATGTAGGTAGTGCCTACTGTGTTAGATGGTACAGATACAAACATTACAGGCAGGTCTATTGGACAGCGTTCTGCATACCAGGAATTCATCAGGAATCCAAGTCAGGTCTTTGTCCTTAGTGAGCTTAGATTTGAGTGGGTAGTAGATGAAAAAGAAATCAAATGCATAATTTATCAGGTGCTAATAAGTATTCTGAATGATAAAAATCACCTGGAAATTTCTATAAACTAACATTGTCTTAAGTGCTTTCAACATAGCAATTCTTTTCTGTTTTTTTTTTTTTTTTTTTTTTTTGGAAATGCAATCCAATTTGTTTATTTTCACTTTTGCTGACTGTTTGGCCTTGATCTCACAGAGATCTTACTGTCTCTGTCTCAGGAGTGTCTTTCTATAGCTGAGTAGATTAGTGATGACCTAAACATTTGAACACAAACTATATTCAGATTTGGGGTTCATGCTCTGTGTTTTCTTGTTTCTGCATGTTTCTATCAAAATTTTCAGCTGCTCTTCCAGTTCTGTCCTCTGACACTTCAAACAAATAAGGCTGCTGCTTTGAGCTTCCTTAACTGGGCCCACTTGCACAAGAAAAATAAAAGCGAATATATAACTCTTACCCAGGACTTTCATCTTTCATACCTAGATCATCCTGGTTTTCTCTCCGGGGCATTGATTTTGTTGTCTGCCTTGCCTGGACTAATGCCAGAGGCTGAGTAGGTTAGCAGTCAGCCAGGGATGCGGGCACAATTTATACTCATATTGTGAATTTCTGTCATTCTGTTGTGATTTTGGCTTCTAGCATTCCTCACTAATGTTCCAGCTCTTTTCTAGCACTGAACTGCTGTGTCCTCTGCTATCTCATACTTACAAAACTGGTTTTGCTTCAAGAGCTGTGGAGATTAAAATATAGAAAGAGGAGAAAGAGAGGGAGAGAGAGAGAACAAACAAGTTCTATTTTATTATGGTTTGAATCTGAATTGTCCTAGGATCATGTGTTGAACACTTCGTCCCCAGCTGGGAGCATTATTTTGGTAGGTTCTGGAAGCTTCATCACTAGGAGCTTGCCTTTGAGCGTGATAACTGGCTCAAGTCCCTCTCTTGTTTTCTACTTTCTGTCCACTGAGATGAAGAACCTTATCTACCACACTCTCCTGCTGCCAAGATGCTCTGTCCAAGTTCTTCAGCAAAGCGCCAAGCACCGATGGGCCAAGCCCTCTGAAACCACGAGCAAAGTAAATCTTCCTTCCCTTAAGTTGTTTATGTCTGTCATCCTGTGACAGTGATGAGGAAAGCTAATACACAATTTGTCAAAAGTAAGGTCTCCTCCAGCGTCCGCTTCCCTGAGAGTATTTTTGGTGTCTTTTTACATTTGGCTCAGGTTTTATAAAGGTCATCTGCAGAAGAGTTTAATATATCAAGTCACTCAACCAGTACCAGGAACTGGAACTTTAGCTCATTGGATATTGTATAACCACTTATGTTTTATTCATTCCTCATGCAGACAGAATACACAGATAACAACTCTCAGTAGCCCCTTGAAGTGTATTTAGTAGCTGAGAAAGCTGCCTATTGCTGATTGTCATTCTTTAGTTTGTCTGCTTCCTTTATTCTCCTACAAACTTGAAGATTTTTTCCAAAATATATTCTCTAATTTTTATTATCTATGTGCTCACCACAAGGGAGGATTCAAAAAGTTAAACTTTGACTCAGTGAGAGTGGAGGTATCAAACTTTCATGGAATCCCACTGAAAAATTGAGTGTACCAGTGACTCTAATGACGGTAGTATGGATGCCTGACAAAGCTAAGCTGCCAAGGCCTGGGAAGTAAGAGATACAGAACAATGATAGAAACAGGGCAGAGGGAAGGGTCATGTCGGCCACATGGCAAGTAAAGAAACCAGTCTAACCTTCCTTCGGACTCCCCTCTGCTGTGACTCCTAATCTGCTGGTGTTCTGTTTGTTTGTTTGAAACAGGGTCTTGCTTGTAGTTCTGGCTAGCCTGGAACTCACCTTTCTCAGCCTCCTGAGTGCTGGGATTACAGAAGTGAGCCACCATTATGGCTTTTCTGTACTCTGAAAATAAAATGGTTAGCTACTCAAACTCAACTAACAGAGGGGAAGAAAAGAAAGAAAAAAAAGATTGAAAAAGAGACCAAGTACCATTCTTTACAGAAAATTGTCCTTATGCCCGTAAAATACAAAGAAGGAACAATCATTTGAATGTCACACTTTCAAGTTTAAGATTTAAAATGACAAGAATCTCTGATGCTGTTTGCTGGTCCTAGAAGCGATGACATCAATGATAACAGTGTTCTGAGCCTTCCTTTATTTTTAAAAAATATTTTATTGTTTATTTTTATTTTATGTGTATGAGTGTGTTGCCTGCATGTATATAAGTGCACCCGTGTTGTGAAATGCCGGTGGAGGTCAGAAGAAGGTGTTGGATTCCTCTGGAACTGGAGTTCCTGACGGTTGTTAGCTGCTTTGTGGGTGCTGGGAATCAAACTTGGGTTCTCTGTGAGAGCAGCTAGTTCTCTTAACCACGGAGCCATCTCTCCAGCCCCCGAGCCTTCCTTTCTAAACAAAGAAGATCATGTTCTCAACTTGCTACATCGCCCAGGTTCACTTTGTCGGCAGAGGCAGATGAGAAGCAG